AGCCTAATGAAATATCCTACTGAGAACTGTAAGAAATGGTAATGAAAGGGTCAAGGAACATAATGAAATATTCTAATGAAAAAATTCAATGAAATGGTAATGAAAGGGTCAAGGAGCTGAATGAAATATCCCAATGAAAATTTTAAGAAATGGTAATGAAAGGGCCAAATACCTAATGAAATATCCTTATGAGAAATGGTAATGAAAAAGCAAAGGAGCCTAATGAAATATCCTAATGAAAATTCTAAGAAATGGCAATGAAAAAGCGAAGGTGTCTAATGAAATATCCTAATGAAAATTCTAAGAAATGGTAATGAAAAAGTGAAGGAGCCTAATGAAATATCCTAATGAAAATTCTAAGAAATAGTAATGAAAAAGCGAAGGAGCATAATGAAATATCCTAATGAAAATTCTAAGAAATAGTAATGAAAAAGCGAAGGAGCATAATGAAATATCCTAATGAAAATTCTAAGAAATGGTAATGAAAAAGTGAAGGAGCCTAATGAAATATCCTAATGAAAATTCTAAGACATGGTAATGAAAAAGCGAAGGAGCCTAATGAAATATCCTAATGAAAATTCTAAGAAATAGTAATGAAAAAGCGAAGGAGCCTAATGAAATATCCTAATGAAAAGTCTATGAAATGGCAATGAAAGGGCCAAAGAGCTTAATGAAATATCCTCATGATATCTCATTATCCTTGCCTATATCTTATGAAAGATTCTAGTGATAAATTGAATGAAATAGATGGGCAATCCTAATGAGATGCCTTTCATAAAACCTGTGGCAGTATACACATTGCCTCTTGGACAGTTGTCATAGATTAATCATAAATAGTGGTAGCCACTAGTGCTTCCAGACTTTGTAGGCTGATCCAGAACTTGCTGCCTCAGCGCGGCCAATTCGTCCTTGAGACCACACACAAGTTCCCTGTGGTCAGAAATATCAAATGTATGCGCATATATACATTGTCTGAAGTAATCAACTCACTTTTGAAGCTCATAACGGTGTTTGAGTCCAATGTGGGCCTCATAGAGGCTACTGTACGCCTGATTCCCTGACCCAAGGAGGTTGTGATGAGTTGCGGTTGCGACAGTGTTGTCAGCATTGTAGGATGAGGGTCCTGCACTCGACATTCCGGGGCCATGCTGGCCCTAATAAGACATTGGTTTGTGAGCATTTGGGCGCGTAAAAATGAAAAAATAAAACACAACCGTCCTCACGGTTGTTGTCATGGTGCTGAATCCATTGCGTGTGTTGTTGTAGCTGCCCAAAGGCTGGTGTTCGTCGAAATCCTCAAAAAAGTTGTAATTCGGAAGGGAATTCATTATATACAAGGTTGAGGAGGATGATGGGAGGAAAGAAAGAACAGAGATGTGAACAGAAGTGGCAGAGCGCGTTCTATTTACCTTTGTTATATTCCGTCTGATATCAGACACCGTTCTCATCGGCTTCCACAGTGAGCACAATGCTCTCTGCTGTCGCCTCTCTTCTTGCTCTCTTCCTTGCAGTTGCTCTCGCAGGTGTCCAACCGTTTGACCTCGTCACTCCCAGCTGTGGCCGAAACCCTGGAAAGCACCCAGTCACTGGTGCTCCGAGCACTGCCACCCTCTTGATGCTGAAATACGCGTACTACGTCGACCTTACGTACTAGATTCAAAGTTGCACCCAGTACAGCTTTCGCCGGTCAGTTATACCTTATGAGGTCCTTCCAAATGTATATTTTGTTGTTCTTTGTCAACACTGTTGCCAACGTCGTCACTCTGGCCATGCGAGAAATACCTGAGAATATATATCTACAGGCTACAGGCTACAATTCGTCAACATAACCAGTTACATCTATATCATCCAGCCCTGACTTCTCGACTACAAACCAAAGGTTCTCTGGGTCCCCCGCCTTTGGAGGTAGAGGTTGCATTGAAACGACAGAAATGATCTCGGAAACAGGAATTACCTCCAGGCTATTGTCACCATTATATGTGCATGCCCATAGTGTGTGGTAGGAATCTTCGAGCATGTCTGCATCCGGTGGTCCATAGAGTGATATCAACGCGTATGCGTCAAGTTTCTGTTCGGCGTTCTCGACCAAAAAATAAAACTGTACTTCTGCGAATCCAATTTCCCCATTGAATTTGACCTATAAATCATATAAGCCACTAAGGAGACCCACATCGAGAAATTCAAATGCACCTTAACGTTGCGCGTGTTACGTTTATTTGGACCACCGCGTCGTGATTCTGAATACACGCTTCGCGCGACTTGGCCATTTGGCAACCGCAACCGTCCCCATTTCCTCAAAGCTGACTGTCTGAGTGCAACATTGACAGCTATTCGGTGAGGCCCTGTTAGTTTCTTTACATGGCGATCTCTCGGTCGCAAAAGCACAGATCCTTCACCAAGGTCATACGAAAGCCGCGGCAGAGAGGGTTTCAAAGTCTTGTCGAGCTCCGGGCAGAGCACTGTGAGTGCATTCGCTTGGGCTTGGCGAAGAGCAACCTGGGCGAGGTTTGCGAACGGTGTTGCAGGTTGTCGGATGCTTTGGCCTAGATCTCCGATTGCACGCTCTAGAGGAAATTGAGTGATATAGGCACCAGGTCCAATGCGTGTGATTTCAGGGCAGATGTGGAGAAGTGTGTGAATGCACGGACGGCAGTAGTGAATACGGTCCATACGGCGTCGGTAATAAAGAAGCTCATATTCTTCCACAAATTGAATGAAGAAGGAATGGGCTTCCCGAACCTGTTTTCCAGTAATGCGTCGCTGAATCACACCTCGCATGCCATGCACCAACTTACAGAAATTTTGCCAGTACTTCTTCGGAAGGAAAGTCCTGAAAAATCCAGGGCCTAGTCCGAAAATGTATAAATACCATTCAGTTGCCTTAAATCCACTCGAGATTTTCTCAGCGGGATTCCGGGGTGGGCGATGAAAGGATGAAGGAAAATATTGTGTCGCAGCTGCCACAAGTTTTCCATGTTGAGTCCATGTGTTACCGGTGAGAGTTGCCCACTCCCACATCAACTTGTTGTCTGTGGTGTGGTCAAATGTCATGGTCCCTCTCCAATGGGACATATGTAACTCGCCGAGATTGATAATGAGGTGCATCAGGTCGACAGAAAAGCATAGAGGAACACGGACTGTTAGAGACGGCTCAAGTCCTGAAATAATTGATGGCTTGCTTAAGCCTGTTGCCTTTCGATTCTGTTCATACTCATTCTGGTTAGCAGAACCGACAAGCGTTGCAATTTTTGTTGCATAATCCTCGGGTGTATCTCGCTTGGAGCCAACTGTCGAGCTGCGGAAGTCAAAATCACGTCGCATGGGGCCATCTCCGTTGATCGGGGAAAGATGAACTGCGTAGTAATGCCCGCTGTTCGGCTTATGCATTCCCATCATCTCACAACCTATCCGGCAGCCCTGAGCACCATGATGCCCAACTCGCCCATCAAGCTCCGTGAGTCCAACGGCATCTGCAAGCCCACCAATCAGGCCAATCTTCGAGGGAACTACACACTCCTTCTCCGCATCCCAGACCGGAAGGCCAGCGCCATCATTCTCACGCTGCAGCGCTGAAAGGTGGTGGAAACTCCGGAAGGTATATGAGTCAATGTTCTTCGGTTTGTTGGGACCAGGAATAATAAGGGTGGGAATGAAGCGTTTCTTTTTGTACCGAGTTTTTGGATCTATATCCATGACAATCCAGATTGCAATCCAAGTATCAGACTTCTTGTTTTGGTAAAGCTGAGCACCGTCAATAGAATAAACAACTGTCGTGTCATCTTCGGTAAAAGTTTCGCACAAATCCAGGACGTGTTCCCCCGAGAAGATATCATCATAGACAAATTCATCAGGATTTGCAGTGTTGAATGCCTCGATTATTTCCATGATCTTTCTGTGACGATAGCGAATTGCGCGAGCCCCCTGCGGAGATCGACGAAGAGCCTGTAGTTGTGGGCCAAGAGGAATTGTACAAGCTTGCTGCCGCAGAATCTTTTTGCCGGAGGAGGCAAACTCGTCGGGGTCGTAGCGCAGCTCTGAGCAGACGTGGCATGACTGTAAGTCCGCGAATGGACCCGTGAAAGCGTGGCAACCATTGATGCACATATCGTCGTAGATAGCACAGACACCAGTGATTTTTGCTACAAGCTTTTTGATGTCGTAATAGGAGAGCATTCCTGAGTCTGGGTAGCGCATCAAGATAGAGTCACGAACATCTGTGTAAGTCTGTTCAGAAGCGTTCTTGCAGGATAAGAAAATGTTGAGCGAGAGGCGTGTATCCAGGTCTGAAATGTCGACTGGTGCCTCATCAGGATATCTGAGGTTGTCGATGGTCAAGTCGTCAAGCCCGCCATTATCAAGAGTAGCACAAGAGACTTCATGTATGAATTCCTGGGCAAAACGGAGGTGTTCGATGCGGGAAGGATTCAGAACTGGGGCATTTCCTTCGACATCAGGTTCTGGAGTCTCAATCCTCTGATGTCCTGGGACTCCTACAGCGTTGTCTTGCTCATCCTCATCGGATTCGTTGCGCGGCCTGTCCTGAACTTCATCTTCTTCGTCCACATCGAAATCATATTGGGGCTGGGGCAGCGGTGGTGTCTATAGTCATTAGAATTTCGATTGCTTTTACTTTTTGGTTGTAATACATACTCCATGGTAGTTACCCTCCCCTTCTTCGTCGAGATCCTCACGATATCCATCTTCAATGACATCTAATGGGGGGATAAATTCTTCTGGAGGTTCTTGTGAGGCGTTCCGAGTCTAGAGCCCCAATATAATGTAAGTTGGATGTTATTGAACAATTTGTATCTAAAACAAAAGGGCGGGAGAGACGCTACACATACTGGATGAGGAACGGCGAGCCGGCGGCGCTTCCTCGGTGCGAGAAGTTCCTCCTCTTCAGGCAGGTCTTCCTCTTTTCCTTCTGGTTCTGATCCATCCATAATCTCCTCACCATCCAACCTTTCCCTCGTGGCCATCCATTCATCGAACGTCGGAATTTCAGTTTTTTTCGTGGCAGTCTGATGTCGTGCGATGACCTTGGAGCTCATTAGCGCACCGTTGCACCTGGGGCAGTAACCTGGTTGCTTTTGTGGAGCCATCAACGCAACAAAATTGAGCAAAGAGAACCGGAACTGAAAAACGTGTGGATTGGCAGTACAGCGAGTCGTTCTCGACTTCAAGGAACTTTCAAAATCACTTAGATTTGTATCTCAGCTTAAATTTAATTAAAATTTGAGTACTGCCGAATCTGGCGGATCAACTCCGATTTTGCCCAGAGTTGCAGATTTGTGCGCATTATCTCAGAACCGTGCAGAACCGTGCAGAGCCGGTTTTCACTGGGCTTCACTCTTCGTCCCTTAGCTTTGATTGGATTACCTTCGTGATCTGTTTATGGAGTTCATTTTCCATGCTTCATTTTCGCTCTACCCTTACCGATACTGATGGTGCTCCCTTCAGTTCTCGAAAATCGGAAAGATTCCGAAAGGGACTCGTACAAGGAGATCATCTTCTCAAACACCATCCAGTCAATGTGGTCCGTTTCCCCCCATCTCGTTGTATGTGTCTGCATAGGCTAACCAACATCGGACACAAAGGGAAATCCTCGAAGCCCTCCCACAACTCGACCTAACCCTCGCACCGCAAAACGACGCCCGCCGCGCAACCATCATGGCCCTCCCCATGCAAATCGAAGCAGACGTCCTCCCACGAGACGTCGTCGACGCCGTGCGCTCCCTCTGGCGTGACCCCGGCGTCAAAGAAGCCGTGCGTCGTTCCCGGGAGTTCCAGCTGAACGATTCAGCAGTGTACTACTTCAACTCGATCGACCGTATGGCAGCTACGAATTACATCCCTACCGACCAGGATATCTTACGGAGCAGGGTGAAGACGACGGGAATTACGGAGACGTCGTTTAAAGTGGGGGAATTGACGTACAAGTTGTTTGATGTGGGTGGACAGAGGAGTGAGAGGAAGAAGTGGCTACATTGTTTTGAGAATGTGACGGCGTTGGTGTTTTTGGTAGTTTGAGTGAGTATGATCAGATGTTGTATGAGGATGAGAGTGTGGTATGTTTCCTTCTCCTTTTTCTTTCTTCTTTCTCTTCTTACCGCTCACAACCATTACCATTGTAGAACCGCATGCAAGAAGCGCTCACCCTCTTCGACTCAATATGCAACTCACGTTGGTTCGTCAAAACATCAATCGTACGTCCCCTCTTCCCTCCTCCCTTCTCTACTCCCACTAACCCCCGCTCCCACCCAAGATTCTCTTCCTAAACAAAATCGACCTCTTCGCCGAAAAACTCCCGCGCTCACCATTAGGCGACTACTTCCCAGACCGTGACTACACAGGCGGGGACAACTACAACGCCGCATGCGACTACCTCTTGCACCGCTTTGTCTCCCTTAACTAGAGCGCGGCGACGAAGCAGATTTATGCGCATTATACGTGTGCGACGGATACGCAGCAGATCAAGTGTACGTTTCCCCTCTTGTTTCCCTCTTTTTTGAGATGATTTGGCTGATTGGGATTTGAATGAATAGTTGTGTTGAGTGCGATTCAAGATAATATTACTTCAGCTCCATCTACGGGAATGTGGGCTGCTGTAAACCTTCGTGCCCTCTTGCCTTCCTCTCGTCTTCCTTGTTCTCTTTCTTCCGAATCATGGCGATTGCTTTTACCCACAACCAACTCAACACCCCTGCTATAATGATACCTACCCCCCTGCCATCCCCCGCGTCTTCTTTGTATCAAACACGAACCCAACCCACCACCCACCGAATGAACTTGTTGCGTCCCTGGTCACACCCTTACCCACCCCATTTTTCATTCGAGCAAGCCGTCTTAGTTTACTATCCGCATCTTTGAATACCGTATCTTTTTTCTCTTTCAATGTTCAATGGTTTTATAACAGCCTACACCACCACTGGCTTCTTTCCCTTTCTTTTCCTTGTTTTGTTACTATTCTTTGCAAGTTTGGCTAGGTAGTCGATTGGTCCCGACCTACTTACCTTTTTACGTCCGCCTTCCGCTTCCTCCCGCAGCTTCCTTCTTTTAATTATGCATCCTTCTGCAATTGGCCACCCTCTCTATATATATATATATGCTTACTCTCTTATCCCCTCCTCACACTCCAGACCTGAGACTCGTTCGCTTGGCTTACGGTTCTTTTAATATCTGTTTTGTTTTATACCTCAATATAACTCGAACGCAAACGATGTACATTGTGAACACCGCAAGCATTGCATGAAACTACACAGCCCACCAGTAAGTACTACATGGAACTCCACAGAGTCCACACAAAGTACGCCCATTTCGTCCACGGACACGGACGGAGGTAAGCGCGAGTCCGAGTCGGAAGACGGAGTTAGTCAGGCACTTCGAAGGGTTGGATTGGGGTTGGACCCTTGGAGCTGAACTCCAAGAAGCTGAGTCGGGGTCCGGCTCGGAAGCGGCAAGACTAAGGTTGGAGGGAGATTGAGGAAGAATGGTGAGTTAGCCAGGTAGCGGTACGGGGTGGATGGACGACCCTAGTCGGGGCGCAACTCGTGATCCACGTCAGGCTGCACCTCAGAAGACTATCTGGTGCAGTATCTGATTGATGGTGAGCTCGGTGGTTCGAAGGGGACCTCGGCAAACCATAGTACTGTAGTAGCAGTACTAGTATTGGACGGTCGCATGTCGGAGATGGTGTATGACGGGCCAATGGCGGAGATGGTGTATGACAGGCCAATGGCGCGCGTTTATTGCTGGGATACCGTCTTGAGTTCAACTACACAGTAGTGAAGGTAGCGAATCGTCGCCTCTATTCAGATGACCACCTTCCAAGAGGCTGCTGTCGGTGCTCAACTGGGGAAGTAGGCTGCTCAAGGTAGCGCACAGTGCACCACACAGGAGCATTGGTTTGGATGCGAAAAAGGATCCGGGCAGATCCAGGAAGTCCCGGCAAACACAAATAGTCGAGCACAAGCGCAAGAAATGAGCTATGAGGAGAAGGCCAAGGGGATGGAGGAGGAAGCTGTGGCTATTAATGACGGGGAAGATGTGTCGTTTGAGTTCTCGTCCGATACCATGAACAAAACTTCGAGCCTCTTGTCATCGGGCAGCACGTCACACATGTTTAGGCGCGTCGTCGCGATAGTGGAGGCGTTTGGATTGGGAAACCTCGACGGAGAGTAAAGATCAAGATGCAAGGAGAGAAACCGTAGTGTGGTTTAGGCAGTACTGCCAGCGGCCAAACGCCATGAATCTCATCAATCGTCGAGATAGGGTACCACCACAGGTGCAAAAAAGAGGCAGGACGAGAAGGCCAAGATGAGTGGTGGAGGAGACTCCAACACCTCACGACAGAAGATCTGTGATTTGAGCTCCCATCCGTGAACAATACGTCAAACTTGCGGGCTCAAGGCAGCGATTGCTGACATTGGGATGCAGCATTGCGATACGAAGGCCCTCCAACTCAAGTGAGATCTCGATCGGGACAAGATGAAAGAAAGGCGGGGAGAGGATATCCTGCCAAAGACAAAATGGATGGCCAAGATGGACGGCGATAAACGGTGGAAGGGACGTGGCACAAGGAGAAGGCCAAGAGGATGAAGGAGGAAGTGGCGAGATATAGCTGGGAAACGAGGAGGAAAGGTGACGCCACACGCGAAATAGATGGTCAAGATGCATTATGGTAACAAGCCGGGTGCAGCCACAAGGACGCCAAGAAGATGGAGGATTGGTTTGAGCTTTCATCCGTTACCGTGAACAAAACGTCGAAGTTGACAAGAGCTGCTCAGGTAGCAGGTTCCACATTGGGCAATTACGACACTGGAACAGCTCTCTGGAGGTGAAGGCGTTCGGAATAGGAGACCCGCGCATGTCGGAACCCAAGGGGGTAAAGATTCGGATTCTAGACGATGCTGGGTAGATGTATGTAGTGGAAGAACGTCGGATTTTCTGCCTAACATGTGCTAATCAAGCCAGAGTTCTTGAATCCAGAATCTCTGGACGACCACTCCAAGATTCAAGTAGCGTGCTCGAGCATGTCGGCACGAGCAGGTACGACCGGTGGATAGCGAGTTGGGGCTGCTGCCGTTGTCGTTTGTGGTTGTCGAAGGTAATCTCGTGGACTTGGAAGCAGGAGCGGGCCCGGTCAACGAAGAAACGCCCAAAAGCGCATCAACCTCGCAACACCCATCAAAACAACCAACGTATACTCTGGCATCTGTACCCTGCTCACACCCCTCCCCACACAATCACGCCCCCGGCTACACCGCGTTGCGTGAGCGGGATACCACCGAACGTTGGCCTGGCCAAGGCGGAGGAGACACCTGAGACTGGAGCCCAGGGGCACAGAAGAAGAGTGCTTCTTTAGAATATGGTCGTATATAGAGGGACCGCCTTGTTGTAACTTCATAGTGGGAGTAAGTTCGTGACAAGTCATATGCTTAGAGAGAAAGAACATACGCGAACGACGCACAACCCCCTTCCGCGCCCTCCACAGCGAGATGCATCATCTCTTCCTTGCTTTTAGCACTTTTCGCGATGATGAGTTCTGTCTTGCTGACTATGAGATCTAGCACGTCCTGCGCGACGAATTTGTCTGCCAACACGAGGTCCACGAGGATAGTGAGCATTTGGTGCGTGAGTAGGGTGAGCAGGGTGCCAGGACCCAGCAGGATGATTCGCCCGCGTTTGGGAGTGGGACAAGAAGGCGTGAATGGGTGGTGGGTTCAAAAGTTTGTCCGCCGTCAGCTCGAGCATCTCTTAATCCGAGAGGGTAGATAGTTTGGAGAGAGGCCAGTCTTCGCTCACTGGGTGAACAATCTCGAGCAGTGTAAATTTGATGGTTCAACGGGGCGGATGTGAGTGAGTATGCCACTATCCTCTGCAGACACTTTGTCTGCATCTGTGTCGTCCATGGCCTTGGATTTAGCATCCTCTCATTCGCCCTACGTTCTATATCGCACACCCCACTCGCCACCACCTCCCTCGTAATCCTCGATGCTGATCTACACCCCTTCTACGAGTGGTCACGCCCACTTGCAAGGGCGTAGGTCCTCCCGTCGTCGGGTCCATGAGAGGAAGTGAATGAAAGATTGCCGAGATCAGGAGTGTCGGTCGTGTTCACTGGTACACGGCGGTTTTACAAGAGGCCGTATAGTTCTTCTGTAGATGCCCTACACTTTGACGAGTGTGTCTGTGATAGATTCCGATGTGATGTCTGTACGTTGCGTAAGCCAAGCGTCGAGAACAACGAGCTGGTCCCGCCAGTTGGTGTTCCCGGACGCGCCATTGAACTTTCTTGCATACTGAACGGAGGCCGCCTTTTGCGAGAATGTGTACGTGAAGCGTCAGTTTCGAGAGCCGCGAATGCCCGCGATGCAGCTAATGAGTACCGATCCTATGATAAGGATTCCCTCGAAGTTGCACGATGAAATGAAAGAATGAGGGAGGCGCTCGTATGTGGGTTCGGAGGTGGCTATATGCGTACAGTAACAGTGGTCCCAAATTTTAGCAGGAAGGCAGGCGGCATGAGGAGCATTGAAGGTCGTTATATGCGGGAATAGTGAAATTTGTCGACTCGTCGAGGTAGTGGAAAGAGACAACGACCAAAACAAACGTTCAACACGGATTTGATCGTCGACCACCAACATCTCCACCAACTTTGCTAGCTTACCATTCGCGTGCCTGGGAATCTCTCGTTACATTTGCAGAGCTGTCCAGTTCTCCTGCTCAACATTCGCTGGGTGAGTACTTGATCTGTCATCGCTCATTGAGAGTAAACCTGACACGGAATTGCAAGTTCACGCATGGCGCACAAGCTTTCATACCGGTGGAGGGCTATCTATTCCGATTCGTTCAACTACTTTTTCGCTCACAACCCTCGTGTCCTCGTTTTCCACGAACGTCTCATCACCGTAATCCTGGTCCGCGGTTGATTTGGAAACCCACGTCAACCACCCTTTGAGTGAAGTGAAAGATCAACGACAAACGGAGAGGTGATCGTCATGTCGCTGAAGTTTACGTGCGTGCCCTCTTTCATCTACTTTCCTCGAAGCGTCCATCTTCTGATTATCTATCCTACAGTTCACATCGTGCACCATACCCCCCCATGAACTCAACGCAGGTGTTTTGGGATATTATTAGACCGGAAAGCTCCCTGTAACACCAGGTTCAGGACGACGAACAATGGACCGTACATTTTTACGGCGCAGAGGAGAGGCCAGTCATCCAACGGTAGACGTTTTGTGCTGTTTATCAGGTGAGCATCCATGGTTCGAGTGACTTCCCTTTCTAAAGCACCATTACCAGAAGGAGGTTCACTCACCCATTCCAACTCCTGCGGCGATCGGCTGCCCCGAACTTCGTGACGACGCCGTTTTTTGGTTCGCCCAACTTAGATCTCAGTCCTCCGCAGCTGTACCGACGGCTCGCCGTAACGACAATAATCCAACCCAAGAAATTCCGGTGGTGCACAGACGCCTCGTTGTGCTTCCAGCATTCGATACTTCGGTAGGTAGGACTTTGGATCTTCGATCGTAATCACTCCATCGGCCTGACAATAGAGTTTCGCATAACCGCTTGGTATGACGTCACGCCTCCCCTCTTGATGATGAGCTAATTGGTTGGTCTTTGGTAGGATCCGCGAGGCGAGGCCCGAGCTGCAGGAAACCAAGATCATCCTTGTGATCCCCATCGTTCGTCGTCGGCCGCAGTGGATCTTTGTCCTCTTACAGGATATGAATTACGACCGGATCTAGTGAGGACGATAGTTGGGAGAGGGATGAGAAGGAATGTGAGGAACGCCAAGGATGGATGAGAGGAGGTAGAGCTGGAATGGCGTCTAGCGAGACAGGGATCGCTAAGGTCTACTTCGATAATGATGAAGAAGCCAGGTATGTGTGTTCGTCTTTCGGCTTTCAATGTAATTTAATGTTTATTTTAGGTTTCTGGTGGTGTCTCCATAGTGAATCTGCTGCTCTTGTGAATATCTGAAATGAAATAGCATGTCATCTCTTCGTCCCCTTGAGTCTGGTGAAGGGCGTTGTTTTCTTTCTTTTTCTCACACTTCTTCTTTGACCGCCGTCCTTTCTGGTGCCTCCTACGCTGAGGCACGCCACTGCGCGTTAACTCGGAGCGCTCAGCAGTTTGAGAGGAACGGACGTCAGCTGACTCTGTGAAACGATCCGTTACCTGGATTCTTCCAATAGCCTTGATTCCTGGGACGTGGTACGAGAACGATTTCCCCAAATCACCAACACAGTCCCCTATTCCTCTTCCGCCCGTCTCCCTTCCAGAACAACCATCCTCTGGATTGCCGCCTCCTTCATCCGACACACCAGCAATACCAAATTCCCCATCAAACCCACCTATGCCAACACCTACCTCTCCGCCACCCATCTCTCCGCCACTCATCTCTCCGCCATGTATCGTGTCGCCCTTGCCAACACCTGCTTCGCCAATTATACCAGCTACCCCAACCAATCCTCCAGTCGAGACCTCATCCGTGTCCGCCTCCATCCACCCTCCCATCCCAGCAGCTCTCGAAGAACTACCCCGCGTTCCGCCCATCGTCTCCCCAGGTTCTCCGCTGATGTTCCAGCTACTGCAGAGTAGGAGAGTCCCGACTGTACCCCTGCCTGAGGAAAACCCCACTTCTAGCCAAGTGACGAAACAGCGAAAGGGGAAGAAACGGGTGAGGAAGGTTAAGGATAAAGCGAAAGCTTTGTTCACTCGGGGGAATTCCAAGTGATTTGGGTTACGGTGATTTTCTCGCTGGACGCTTGGACTAGCGGGCCGTAATCAACATTGCTACGTTGGGAACAGATTCTATTTACAATCCACACCAACACAACACGTCCATGGAGTCTTTTCCAGTAAGTATTCATATTCATAGGTCAACTGTCCTTTCGGAGCTGATGAATCCCACCACATATATAGATCATTATCATGGTCATCACACGGTCATCAGAATCTCAACACTTATACCTCAACCTTGTCTCAAGATGTCCGCATCTGAGGCTATACCTCAACGCTCAAACTTGAGTGCCTAGCACTTACAGCTGACTGAGCACTGCTGCACGGCCTTCCATCGGAAAACTATGACAGCTTTGAAATCTAGGCCTACCGTACTACGCATGCACGGACGTTCGGCTCTAAATGCAGTCTTGCAGGCCTGACTTGACTTCTAGAAATTCCCATCTACAACGAATGGGTGCCGGTATGGCGTCTCCAGTCAGTCCGACATGTTTAAAAGAAGAGCAAGGCAAGAACCTCGCTCTTCATCACCTCCAGATTCATTTCTTTGAACGCGTCTCACAATGGTTCTTAAACTCTACGGATTCCACCTCTCCACTTGCACTCAGACTGTTGCAACAGTGTTGTACGAGAAAAACGTTCCGTTCGAGTTCATCCCAGTCGACATTAGCAAGGGCGAGCAGAAGGCCCCGGAATACCTCGTGATTCAACCATTCGGACAGGTTCCCTACATCGTGAGCTTCGATCTCTCTCCTTATCACGCAACTGCTTCATAGGGTGTCCGACTTCAGGACGATGATGGATACATCGTGTACGAAAGTAG